AGTGTAAAAATCGTTTTTCGATTTTTCGCCTTCAAGGTCGTAATTTTTTTTTTCCAGTTGATTTGGACTCAAAATAGGCACTGAAGAATTATTTTTCAAAAAAAAGATTTCATCGAAATTATTTGAAAAACTGTGAAACGCAAAAACAACATCAGATCCACACACACACATACACACACACACACACACACACACACACACACACACACACACACGCAAAAACACACACACACACACACGCACAAATTCTAAATGCTTTTAAATTATTTCCTAGTTGGTCCCCAGACTGCTAATGGTTAAATAATCCCAAAATGTTATTTTAGTATGTATTAAAAAAGCTCTTTAAACAATATTTAAAATAGACCATTCATAAAATAAACAAAGGAATATTCCATTTCATATATATATATATATATATATATATATATATATATATATACAAATATATTTACAGGATGTCCATAAAGTTCGTGTGCATAAAAATTTATAACTTTATTTTGTATTTGATAGAAATAATTTGTAAAAAAGTTCGAAAGTAAATCTGTATTTTTTTAAAGGTTTTATTTAAATTTTATTTGGATTTCCATATTCCTCCATCATTAGCAATACAAAGGGTAATACGATTTGCAGTTCATGGAAAACATTTGTCAACTGATTTACAGTAATGCCTGAAATCACATTAGTTATTTTGAATATACTTAAAAATTAGGTACATTAAACTTTATAACATTTTCACAGATTATTTCTATCGCAAATGCAAATAAATTTTAAAAGTCCGCATGAACTTTATGGACACCTGTATATATATATATATATATATATATATATATATATATATATATATATATATATATATATATATATAATATACCCAAGTATAGGATTGATGTATACAGAATAAATTCCAATAACCAACTCTTAAAAAGAGTGCCCAATACAGAGTAGAGCAAACATAATAATTTATTCGAAAATTATAAAGATAAAAAATGTTATCATCACTACAAAATATCCATTTTGTTTTAACACTTTGGTCTTATCAAATCATCACTTGTTAAGACGCAACGGAAGTTTGGAAACAAGATGCATATTTTTGTAATGATTTTATAACATATTTATGTTATAATTTTCAAATAATTATATATATATATATATATATATATATATATATATATATATATATATATTAATGTATTCTGCATTTACTGCACAAATGCACAAATATATTATATATATATATATATATATATATATATATATATATATATATATATATATATATATATTAATGTATTCTGCATTTAGGCAGTAAATTTCTTTTAAGGCAAATGTTATTAAAAACAAAGAGATTTTGTGTCGATTAATTTTATTGATCGGATTTTTCCAAATTACGAATAATCCTTCTCAGGAGAAATTATTGTCTGAAATGTCGAAACTTCATTTAGGAAGAAATACGGTCCAAGCTTCCGATTTTCTTGGGAAGTCATCATCGGGGTTGGTAGAGACAAATGGTTTCAGTGTTTCGTCGAACTTGTTAGGGTAATGACATAGACAAAGTGTATTGTGGCGTAGGCAAAGTGTGACATGACGTGTGTGTGAGAGTTTTTTTTTTTTTTATATATATATATATATATATATATATATATATATATGCATACACGTTTGAGGATGCGCGCTCTTAAATAATAATTTCCGCTTTGTCCGAAAAGGATTATTCATAATTGGAAAAATCGATCAGAAAAAATTAATCGACACAAAATTTCTGTCGTTTTAAAAGTTCAAATATATATATATATATATATATATATAAACAACTTATTAAAGACAAAGACAAACTGATCTTTACCAACACGTTTCGTCGTCTGATGGACTTTATCAAGGCAAATGAAAGGATTTTATTTTACAAGTATTTATTTACATAAGTAAAATGTCGTTAGGACGAATCGTGTCCGCTTCAACAATTTTTCTTTCTCTTTTCTTTAATTCATTAAAATTTTTTTCTGTCACATGCTTTTTTTTTATTTCTTTCTTACCTTTATCCCTTTCTTTTCTTTCTTTCTTTCTTTCTTTTATTTATTCATTCCTTTTCTATCTTTCTCTCTTTTCTTTCTCTCTTTCTTTTTCTCTTTCTTTTTTCCACATTCCCTTTCTTTCTCTTTTTATTTATCTATTCATTCATTGTTTTTCTTTCTTTCTTTTTTCCTTTATCTCTTTCTTTCCTTATTCCCTTTCTTTCTCTTTTTATATACTTATTCATTCATTCTTTTTCTTCCTCTCTCTTTTTCTCTTTCTTTCTCTCTTTCTTTTTCTTTATCTCTTTCTTTCTCTTTCTTTCTCTCTTTCTTTCTTTTTCTTTATCTCTTTCTTTCCTCATTCTCTTTCTTTCTCTTTTTATATACTTATTCATTCATTCTTTTTTCCTCTCTTTTCTCTCTTTCTTTCTCTCTTTCTTTTTCTTTATCTCTTTCTTTCTCTTTCTTTCTCTCTTTCTTTCTTTTTCTTTATCTCTTTCTTTCCTCATTCTCTTTCTTTCTCTTTTTATATACTTATTCATTCATTCTTTTTCTTCCTCTCTCTTTTTCTCTTTCTTTCTCTCTTTCTTTTTCTTTATCTCTTTCTTTCTCTTTCTTTCTCTTTTCTTTCTTTTCTTTATCTCTTTTCTTTCCTCATTCTCTTTCTTTCTCTTTTTATATACTTATTCATTCATTCTTTTTCTTCCTCTCTCTTTTTCTCTTTCTTTCTCTCTTTCTTTTTCTTTATCTCTTTCTTTCTCTTTCTTTCTCTCTTTCTTTCTTTTTTTATCACTTTCTTTCCTTATTCTCATTCTTTCTCTTTTTATTTATTTATTCATTCATTCTTTCTCTTTTTCTTTCTTTTTCTTTATCTCTTTCTTTCCTTATTCTCTTTCTTTCTCTTTTTATTTATTCATTCATTCATTCATTCTTTTTCTTTCTTTCTTTTTATTTTTTATTGATTTATTTATTAATATAGAAATTCATATTACCCATGGAAAATTTACAAAAGAACGGAGAACCAAAATCCTGGAATTTTATTTTTATTCAACCAATCCGTCAAATTTCGTGAAAATTCTTGAAATTTTTTTGACCAACTCTCCTGACTTGACGCACCCTATGTTATTTTTTTTCTTTTTTCTTTTCTTTTCTATTTTTTTTTTTGATGGGGTGGGGATACCTTAAGGAGTTAATCTAAATTGCAGACAATTCAACCTTCATGGATAACATCTGTGCAGAAATGTTAGGACTGAATTCAAATTTTAGACTCTTCTAACGGATTTTGTAAAAATGAATGCATCTAGGAGGAAGTCAGTATTCTGTCATGTTTCCGTTGTATATTTTATCCCAAATTGAAATATACTTTGAAGATTTAATTTTCATTCTGTTTAATACTAAAAAAGTCCATTGAAATAACTCCCTATTTTATGTCTGAGTGGCCAAATAGGAGTCCTGACAACATCGTTAGTGCCTTTTTCTTTTTAGTTAGAGAGTTGGGCAAACTACTATACCAAACGAAGACTTTGGAAGAACTTGAAATGCGAATACAGTTTCGTTATTGATTCCATACAAGAATTCCTGGTGAAATCATATATATATATATATATATATATCACACACACACACACACACACACACACACACACATACAATACCAGACACACACACACACACACACAGAGTGATTGAAAAGTAACTCCCTATTTTATGTATGAGTGGCCAGCCAGGTCCTGACTTAACATCGTATGACTTTTTCTTTGGGGTTAGTTAAGTTGGGCAAGTCTATACCAAACGAAGACTTTGGAAGAACTTGAAATGCGAATACAAGAAGTTATGTCTTCCATGCAACAAGAATTCCTGGTGAAATCATATATATATATATATATATCACACACACACACACACACACACACACACACACACACACACACACACACACACACACACACGGTGATTGAAAAGTCTCCCTTTTTATGTAGTAGCCAAGTCCTGCTTAACATCATGTGACTTTTTTCATTAAGGTTTTGAGTTAAAGTTGGGCAAGTCTACTATACAAACGAAGACTTTGGAAGAACTTGAAATGCGAATACAAGAAGTTATGTCTTCCATACAACAAAATTCTGTTGAAATTAGTTGACATGATTCCTTGGCGGCTCGAGGCTGGTAGAGAAATTTGGTGCCTATATCGAATTTTAAATAAAACTTCATACTAAACGTTTTCCTCTCATATCCATTTCTTGTAAAAATTATGGTTAATAAATAATTTATAAGTATTTTCAAATGGGCAGTCATTTTCAATCACCTGTATTTTGAATCTAACAAAAATGGCTTGCAGCCACATCATCATTGAAACACCGGTTCCTGTACGATCGTCGAGGTTAAGCAACGTCGAGCCTGGTGAGTAAATAGGTGACCGCTTGGGAAAACTAGCTGTTGTAAAAAAGAAAGCAATGTGCCGGGTAAAACAGGGGTAATAGCTCGGAATTGTTAATCGGAGAGCCGGTTCCAATTTCAGTTGGCTTCGTTATAGTCACTTACGCTCAAATACCCCCAAGGAAGAATATGAATCTATCTCTTCTACCCTCACCCCCAACTATTGATTAATTAGTAAGACTTTATAATGTAAATAATTTTTATCCACCCACCACCACCACCTAAAAATTTAAATATTTTCTGCTATTAAATAAGATACAAAGGCGATGCATCCAAAACGTCAGAAATTTTAGACATGATAAATATTTAACACAACTTTGAAGTAGCCTTTTTGCTTGTTTGCCATAAAAATTTAAAACTCACAAAGGGTAGCGCCCAAGTTTCCACAGCGATCGGACGATATCTGATGTTGAAATACCCTTAAACTTTTGAATATCAAATTAAAATTTGCTAAGTTTATGGGTGAATAGTGTTCAGTAACAGACATAAAGCATTTTGTAGATATAGACAGTGTGGACGCAGGATCAACACTGCATGATAACTATCCAGTTTGTCGCCTTAAAGAAACTTCAGACTATTAGTATAATAGATAGATAGATAGATAGATAGATATGAATGAGATAGATGAGCTACTAATTAGCAGATAAAATGAATAGATAGATGAATAGATAGATATTTAGAAAGACTGAGATAGATATGAGCAAACACAGAGAGATATGAAAAGTCTAGCAGATAGATATGAACTGAGGTAGATATGAAAAGGCGAATAGATAGATAGATAGATAGATAGATAGATAGATAGATAGAATAGTCTCTTATAATGTGGCGAGCTGACAATAATTGGAATGTAAAAATTCAATATGATTTACACGTCATAAATCAAATATTATAATGTCTCTCAGTGGACAAATCGGTAGAGACGAAATGACTGGTCCATCCGAGGTAAACCAGATCAAAGAAGGGGGAGGGGGGCTTTTTCATTTATCCAGTCGAAATTGGTAAAATAAATTGCTGCCACAATATACTAGAGGCTAAAGATGCTGTTTTTCGTTACCCGACATTCAAGTTCATATCCTTGAAATCGCCATAACTCTTTATTTTTTGACTTCCTGTTTATTCGTCTTTTTTTTTCCTTTTTTTTTTTTGGGTGTGTGTGTGTGTGTGGGGGGTTCTGCCTTGTTTGCAAGTAATCATCTGCAAAGATATAGATCTCAATATGGTTGGACTGTTTACAAAAGGGAAGTTTACTCCATCACGAAAGTGTCAGATGTGGTGTATCCTATCAGTCAGTTATGTTTTTTAAAAATATATGAACAGCTGGTGCCTTCGACCTAAGCAACAGATGTTTTCTTATCTTTCATCGCTATTGGCGGTAAACAATTGACTAAGAATTTCTTGTGGAAAGCAGGAATAGGCATCAGGACCAAAAACAAAATATATTATCTCAATTATTCAAATTGTTTTCTTTATATATATATATATATATATATATATATATATATATATATATACAGAGAAAGAGAGAGAGAGTCATTCACAGAAAGACAGTTTCGCTGTATCACAGCTCTTCCTTGGCCTATGATCAGGTGTCTATCTACCGGAAATATCGTTTAAACTGTGTCCCTTTCCAAAATCTGATATTGTGACATACATTTGGAGATTAAATTTAATAAACTTTGCATAAAGTTCTTAACCTTTTCTCCATTTTGATTAGAAGAATGGACATAATCCTATTTGACACCAAACAACGGTATTATGAAATATTGGATTATACAGCTTCCAGAAGTTTATTTTTTTAACTATTAATTTATAAAAGTGGGTTAAGACTCTGGATGAACCCGTGCTTCTCCCCTCTGTTAATCAAAGACAGATCGTCAATCTAAAACAATGTCATTTTTTTTTTCGCTATCCGATCATGTTCCTTATGTGTCTGAAATTATCTTTATCAACTGCTTTATCAACTATCAGTTGGAGTGTTTAAAGGTAATTCCCTAAACTACATTTAAAAAATGTCTGATCATTCTGCCTGAAAGTAATGACGGACATTACGGTACTTCCCTCACCCGAGGATTGCTGTCGGCATAATTTGGAAATTATGTTAGTAAAGAAAGGGAAAGAGACAAGACATGCAAAACGGGGTACAACTAATGAATAAAACGAAATCCTTCTTTCTTCTTCTAACCCTAATCCTGAATGAAACAGAAAATACCTTTATGAACAAAGAAAGAAAGAGAAAGAAATGTCCATTTTTGGATTAAAATTAATAGACTTTGCATAAAGTTCTCTGCTATTTCTCCATTTTGATTAGAAAATCTTTTTTATTCCATTTGACATCGAGAAACGGTATTGTGAAATATTAGGCTATGCAGCTTCCAGCAGATTATTTTTGACTAATAATTTTTAAAAGTGGGTTAACAATCTCGATATCCCCGTGCCTATGTTAAACACAGATTATCACAATAAAGAAAAATCCACAGAGTTTAACAAACGTAGTTGCAAAAACGTCTTTTTTGAAACTCTGTTTGTTAAACGTTGTCTATTTTTCTTTATGTGTCAAAAGGACAGTTTTCTCTTGTCACCGGTATTACTCTATAGATAATCGGTAATTTTTTTATTATATTAAATTTTAAAAGAATAAAATCAGCTTCTCTGCAAGCGAATTCTGCAGACATTTGTATACTCCGCAGGACTCTTTTAAAGGTGACATTGGCTCGAGTAACCTTAAATTTGGAACATGGATATGTTGGATATCGGTTAAGGAAAGACTTTTGGCTTTATTTACGCTGCATCAGGATGTGAGCAGAAATCGGAACTGGTGATAGCATAAACAGGAAATGCATCCGGTGGTTAAAATAAACAGAACCTACAGATGTCCTCAGTCTTGAGTAAACAGGGCGCACAAGTGTCCTGAGTGGAAGGAAATGCATGCTTGCCTGAGCGCATGTCGGAAGAGGCGTGGCCACACAAAGTTGCGTGGGCACATGCCGGGAGAGGCGTGGCGACACGAAGTCGCGTAGGCGTCCAATTGGTCCGATTTTTGATCTGGACAGAGAGGCTAGTTAGAGGTTCACCGAAGATTTGTCTCCGTCACTTCCTGTGTGCGCAATCCTAAACTCTGTGATTCTCCTTCGCTCTACCCATTCATGTAACTCACACAATGAAGTTATATATATATATATATATATATATATATATATATATATATATATATAAAAAAAGAAGAGGTGCTGCAAACGTTTTTTATTGTAATGTGGATTTATTGAGAAAAAAATTATACTTTGTTTTACAATAATTTATAAACACGTGTTTCTGGTCTGGTCTCGCAAACACCGTTTTAAATATGAAAGGATGGAAATTTTTACATATTAAAAAAAAAGAATTAATTTTCTTCATGTTCAATGTGGAATATTCTCGATATGAGACATTCTGTTTGTGTGTTAACAATTCCAAATTTCTTTCTAGAATTTAGTCAATAAAATATTTCTGCGTGATAGGTCATAAAACAATTAAGGTTTGTCCAATCAAAAAAGTTATAGATCATTTAAAATCTTTTTTGAATGTTTTAGTACCCTATATGCTCTTGGATCTGTTTCTATTTTTGCGTGTTCCTGTCAGCATGCGTATATATGAATGTATATTTTTTTTTCACAAAAGAAACTTATTTGTACTTATACACGCACACACACACATGTTACATACACACTATCCCACCCCAAGTAGTCAGTTTCACACATATACAAGATTTCCCAATCAAAACCAGTACACACACACACACACACACACACATACACACGCACACACACACACACACACACATGTATTTCTTCAGCCTGTCAACATCCGCATATACATTGTAAATGTATGGTTGTGTACATCCAGATATATATATCTCTCCTCGTGTCTCCTATATGAGTGTACGTCCATGTATGTGAGAGCGATCATTGTATTTGGTCAAAAGAAAAAGGTTTTTTTTTTTTTTTTTTAGTGGGTGTCCACGATCTATTCAGTTCGGGTTTAAATTTTTCTATAAAGTTTTTTTCCTGTATTTGTAGATACGGTAATTGTCTGTTTGATATATCGGCATGATATTAAACTTATATAAATTAATTTGAAAATGTGTTTATGATACAAAAGTTTTCTGTTGTCTGTCAATTTTATATTGCTTTTGTGTAGGGAGACCCTGTTGTTCAGTTGTTGTTTGATGCCTATATATGACTTCTTACATTTTTGCATTTAAGTGCATAAACTACATTTTTGAGTTGTAGTTTAAGTTTTGTTTATTGTGAATGTTTTTGGGTTTTCAAAAGTGTAGGAGTTTCCTTGGTAATGATGTCACAAACTCCAACCAAAAAAAGAACTACTGGAGGAAAAATACAGAAATTGAAACAAAATATTGGAAGCTATTCTCCTGAGAAAAAACATCACAACAAACCAGGGAACACAACTGAATACAGAAACACTAATAGAACATTTCAAAACGCAGTTCGATACCTGGAAAATATTAAAAGTACACATCCAAGAGGAAGCGTACCGAATGAAAAACAGAATCTCCAACTTTGGAACGACATGCTCAATCAAAGAAAACTGGCATTTTCAATGCCATCAAAAATAAAGAAACAGCAAAATATACAAAGCCTTCATAGAAATGGATGAAATATTTATTCCAAGGAAATTCCGCGAAAAAGATTAACCCACAAGACACGGAAAAACAAAAACAAATAAAAACACACTAAGCATAACAAAATGCAGGCCCAAATTGAAATACAAGAAGACAAAACAGTAAACTTTACAAAGAAATACACAGAGATTGATAACAAATTATTAACAAAAATCAAGGAATTATGTACCAAAGAAACTCACCAATTCCTGTTTGAATTATGGGAGTCAAAATGTAAAAAGAGGAAGAAAATCTCGGAATATCTTGGAAAACAAGATAACCTGGTTAAAAAGCATTACCAAGTAAAGAAAAATTGGAAAATGAGACAAAAAACAAAAATACAGTCCAAACTCAAAAAAAACCCAATACCCAACACAAAACAATCATCAGCAAATACAGAGAAACCACCCAACAGAATCAAAAACCCGAATCCCTACTACCCACACACAAACAGACCCACAAGGTAAGCACTCTAACACATTCTACCATACGCAAATACATCCACAGAAAAACTCACAAAGTGATTATCCTAACACATTCTACTACACGCAAACACATACACAAAGCAGGAACCCCAATACATACCTACCACCACAGTATGCATTCACACCCACATAAAAAATACAATTATGAACATACACTGAACAGCGCAAAAATAAACCTGTACAGACCACTGCACCATAACATTCACAGTCAAAACCATCAGAACACACATTCACATCAACCAACTCTTTGACAAATACCACCTAGCACAACAAACCAAAACCAGGCAACCATTACCTATATCCAAGATGATACAACCAGAATTTCACAAAAGTTCTACACATCCACATACAATCAATACAAAACAACAAACCTAGGAACATCTGGAACAGGGGCCCCTAACAAAGCCAACACACCTATATAGAGCCATCGAGAAACAACAACCCCAATTTTACCAAGGAAACTCTCACTGGCTAGAAAACTCAAAATGTACAGGAAGAAGGTATCTCTTAGAAAACCCAAGATATATTAAAAGAAACAATCATTATTTTTTAAAGCCCCAGTCCGAACAAGAAAACCCGTTTAGATGACACAAAACCCAAAATAATAAACCTATCTACATATACATACAAATGACGAAATCAACCTACTGAAATTGGGCCTAAAATTCTGTCCTGCTCCTAAAAAGCA